GTGGTTTGCAATGAACGTTAACCTTGCCAAATTCATTTGCTTAAAATGTAAAGCGACTAGTTTTTCTACAATATGTGTTTTGATAGTGTCGTGCCTAAGAGCATTACGCATTCTATGTTGACCTGTCACACCCGCCGTTAGACCTATGAATTGATCAAGGATTTATGTCGTACGTAGTCAAATCGAGTTTCAAAAATAAAGGCCGAACATTTATTACGAAACAAGTAAGAAAAAACGACCAAATGATAGGTTATATTTGTTTATGATGTCATTATATTCACCACAGGGTTTACGAAAAACTTTAAACGTGGTGAGTGAAATCCCTGTAATATCAACTTGTTAGTGAGAAGCATGCCTTAAGAATGGTCTTTTTACAGGACGTTTGAATAGGTTGGGAGGCATAAACACCGTAAACAGGTGATAGTGGAATATTACGCCATAAATAAGGAAAGTTACGTTGGAAATTCTTAAGTCATTCTGTTTGTCTTATAGTTTAGTTGGCCTTTATCGTCTACAGTCAGTAAAACTTACACCAAAAATGAAACACATGTGGCGGACATGTTGCAATTGATGTCATTTATTACAATTTCATTGATGTATATTGTGTCGATATATAAATGGTTAATTGATAAGACGTCTTCGATATATATCTGAAAGTCGAATTTAAAGCAACAGCAAGGGATTTGCTCATCTTATGTTAAAGGTTTAGAATAAATTATGCTTCATAGGTAGATAAAACAGATCAACTTATAAAAGAGCACAATTAATGCCCTTCGCATTTCGAACAGTTTGTCGGGAAACATGCTCTGAGAAGACTATATAATTGTTCTCTGTGAGGAGCACCACGTCCTTTTTTCATATCAACTTCAATGAACTATCAAACGAAGTAATTTTGCTGATGACCAATCACAAGATGTAAAAAAAAATCCAAGTTCCTTTTTAAAAAGTAGTTGTCTTAATATAAAAAAGTTTAGATTATAATTCATTGTTGTATAAATTGTATTAGTCTTTTACGGGTCTAGATGATCGATGCCAAGACTTTGTCCTAAAAGAATTTAGAGATATTTTGTTTATTCATAACGTTAGTGATATGCTGATATTTCACTTAAATTATAATTATTTAAAAGGTCGTAGGCGCCTTCCCTAGATTCGCATACAATTCAACTCTTCTCAATGCCAATGAAAAATCAGAATTAAAAGCGTAAAAGCGGGATGGATCAAAAGACTATATAATAAAAAATCTTCACTTAGAATTTTCCTAGATAACGCTTTAAAATCTTATGGAATAAACTTTGAATATCTGTTACGCAGCAATATAAAAAATCCGACTGATTTCAATATTTTAAATAAATTCCCAAATTTTTATAAAGAAATCTTCTGTAGTTTTAACGAGTGTAAAATGTTAACATCACCACGAAATAAAATAACAGAAAACCTATGGTTTAATAGTTTCATTACACAAAATAACAAACCATTATACTTAAAAAATTGGGCAAGAAGTGGTATTTTATATGTATAAGATCTGTTTACAACAGAAGGTATGAAAAATGTCACGGAAGTAAAAGAGATCATTGAATCAAAGAGTAATTACTTGTGTGAATATCTTATCATGAAAAAAGCGATTAAAAAACTAAATATAGATTACTGTAATGTAAAGAACACTAATATACAAAACCCATATTTTTATTTTCAAGGGAAAAGCAAAAACCCAGAATCTGAAAAATCGGGATTTTATTATAAAATTTTACATTCTAAAAAGAAACAAAATGGAAACTAAATGGTCAAAAGAATTCAATATAATGAATGGTCAATGGAAAATATCTATACAGCTAAGATACTAAATATTTTTGATAAACAGATAGTAGAATTCAATTTTAAACTTTTACACAACCAACTGAATTGTAATTATCATGTTAGTAAATGGAATAAAGAGGTGGCAAAAAGTTGTACATCCTGCGGACAAGTAGAGTATATTTAACACTATATATATATATTTCCTGCGGACAAGTAGAATATATTTAACACTTAATTTTTGAATGTACAGACTCAAAAAGAGTATGGGAAAAAATATCTCAAGTATTGAATTTAAATCTATCCTTGAAACATATTGTTGTAGGATTTTATAATGAGTTCAATAACACAACAATGATTTTTAATAATGTCATATCAATTATGGGATACAAAATATATAAATATAAAATGAACTGTAGGTTGCAAAACGAAATAGTAAATACAAATGCAATGTTAATTATTTTGAAATCGTCTTTGTATCAATATCATGTAATAGCAAAGAGTGCAAAAAGTGTTAAATCAAACTTTCATCAACTTTCGATTGTTGTGTTTACAACTATTTTGAAATGTGATGATAAGTGATATAAAAACAATATATATGAAATGAATATTGAAATTTAAAAATAAAAATTAATAAAAAATCCTTAACTACACCATCATCTGCATTAATCTTATAACAATTTAGTTTCAAAATTGCTTACTCTACCTTCATTCAGAAATGCGCATGTATAATTCATCAGATCATGGTGTTAAATGTTGTTCAGCATTGACAGCTAGATTCAGTTTTTTTTTTAGACTTTAGAATGCTTTAAAGTGGTCTGGTGTTTTTTTTTCTAGGTTATCTGTTTTTTATTTTAAAAAGAATTTAAAAACTGTCTTGGATAATACTTTCACGAATGAATTCCAAATTGAAGAATGACACATAAAGGACGTGGCGGTTTATGATAAGTTTACAATATTTGTGCATGTATGGTTTCGCATTTAACCTGTGTAAACTTCCTTGTAGTCTTGCGTATTAAAGTTATTTTATAAAACAGCAATTTAAAAAACAAAAACGAATGCCAAAACTTCAAATTTTCTTTAAGAAAGGAACGAAATTAGCCTGGTTAAAACTATGTACATCGTCCCTTTGTCTCTATTTGAGGTACATACCCCCTTGCTGCAGTAATGTATATAGCCCTCTCCTTTTTTTGAGGGGGGGGGGGGCTAAAACTCCTTAGGATCTCCGTAATGATGCAATTGCGGAGTGATTCACTCCCGAAAGGATTTTGGCTTAAATTATCAGCAAATGGTTATCTAATTTACATGTCTTACCTGAACTCCAAAAATTTAGTTATGCAAAACTTAAATCAATTCACAATATATACAGAACAATCCACATATCTGTTATTTTTCGTGTATGTCAACATCACGATTTGAATTTATCCGTTATGTTAACCGGCTTTGATCCATTTTATTTTGGGACAGCCAATGAGATTATGGATCTCTTTTGCGCGGATCTCTGTAGGAATTATCTTATTTTTCGCATAAATATTGCTGTTTAGAAAAATGTCACATGAAACAGTGATGCCATACAGCACAACCATTTATTAACCCCGAAAATCTACATAGTAATTTTAATTTTAAAGCACTAGTCTCAGTGATCACGCGAGAACTGTCTTGGTTTCTGATGAAAGCGAATGGTAAACAAGCAGATTTATTTTATCTGGTTTTCGCATTTAACCGGCTATGTTGTTGACAGTGAATAAAAATTTCGCCTCTATAGAAGTAAGTTGAATGTAAAAACAATTTATTTTGCCTGTAGATACCCGCATTTAAAAAATATATTTGCACCATTATGGATACGCTGTGGAATTGTAGCCCTCTCCAGAAAATATCACATAAAAAAAATCGGAGAGGGCTATATTATTGCAGCTAACAACCGCACCCCCCCCTTTTTTTAAAGCCCGTCTGAATTTTTGGTCCAAAACAATACGTCAAGCTAGTTTATTTCAATATAGTGCTCATAAGTCCATTAAAACAAAACAAATCATGAGCAGAACAAACAAGGACCTTCGACATCTTAACGAGGCCGAATCTAATTCGACTGCGCATGACTTTGCGCAGCTTTTTAATTTCATGAGGTCATTTGTGCGACAGTACACCTTTGCCAAATATTTTGATTTTAATACAAAATTAACATTATCTGTAACCCCTACTGGTCTGAAAATGTGATTTTACGACAATAATTAGGGAAAAAACGCTGAAATGGCTCTACCGACGTCACCATTTTCGGATTTTGTAAGCAACGCATGACACTGAAGAACGATACATGACTCGCTTGCACGTTAAAGACGTCCATGGATATTACACTAAAAACTGATGACAGAACATCTAAAGAAGCATACTAGCAATTCAAACATTGCTATTTTTAACAAAAAAAAATCGTATGTGCCGATAATTCATCTGCAATGATATGTAGTTATACCGTAATATGGCAATTTTAGAGGTATTGGGCTTGAAAAGATAAACTTAGTAATAAATTCCTAGACCAAGGTAGATGGCATCGTCGCAAACCACGGCCAAAATGTACGATCCTCTCCCATTCTGGCCGTGGTTGAACGAGGCGAGAATTCTTCGTAGCTCATTAAAATATTGACCAATGCGAGTAAAGCATAGTCGGAAGATGAACTTTATCACGACCTTTCAATATCCAATCGCAGTAAAGGAAATATTTCTTGTATACTGTTGACGTCATTTGTTGATTTCAAAACAAAACTTGTCACTGACTGAATATGACGTCACAATAGAGAGGCATAAATATTCAAGATTACGACACTTTTTTTGATCAAGCAGCCACGGGTAGGAGAGAGCTATATATGCGGACTCCGGACCGTGGCTTGAGACGATGAGTAGATGGTGAATTTTTTTGAAATTTCACAATTTGATGACTTTTTATAATAACTTTCATGTACTTGAATGAAAAAGAAATCTTTAGGGCAGAAATACAAAAAATATGGAAAAAATATGATAAATTGGCCCTAATCCAACAAATTCCCATAGGGTCTGATAGTAAAATTTATCTTAAAACAATAATTATAAGAGTAAAAATTAATTATCAAAAAATTATCAAAATCCCTAGGGTAGAAATAATTTGACTCGGCCTCGTTAGATATTAGAGGAGGGATCATGTATTATTGAGTAAGCATGTTCTTTCAATTTGGCTTTGGCTAAAATGAAACATTCAAATATTCCGTAGATGCATGTGGCGTGACATCCATTTTTAAATAATCACTGATTGATACTTTCTCAATCGAATCTGATTGGCAGGGCACGTTATCATATTTGGTTGTCGCATATGATATGTCATGCTTTCTTAAATCTTCATCAACAGAAACACTGTCAATAGACTCTGAATGGAATGACTTATTTACATAAGTCATTGGTGTATGTGGAGTGCTATTCTTTCTCTGATGTTCACTGAATGATACAATGTCATTTGGCTCTGACTGAAAGGATGCGTTGAGATAGTCGGTTGATGCATGTGGTGTCACAGCTAAACCTAGATAATCACTGGCTTCCTCAGGAATGATTTGGCTTCTGTAACTTCCCTTTGGCCGCCGTCTGCCATTTCTTTAATTGAGTAATTAATTTAAGTATTATTGAAGTTTTCAATAATTTATCAAATTTATCAAAGAAATGAAAGCTTACAATATATACTAATGTACAAATTTGGAAAACTATATGTATATGCACCAATATTAAAGAAATTCAAAAGAATTTTGAAAAAGTTTTCATAAGCAACTCAGTATTTGATTCTGAAATCTTTTTTTCCAGACATTATAAATAACACTTTTGGGAATTGAATACTTTAATCAGAATTTATGGTTTTCGGTCTTCGTAAAACATTTCTTTTTTAAAATTGAAATTCAAAAATAATCAAGGGTTGATGACCAAATTCTTACTTCTTATTTCTAGCTTTCACATTCATTATGCAACATACAATGATGATAAAAGTAATAATGATGACCACAGAGAAAACTATCCAGTGACGTAGTTTAAGACTCCCGATGAAGTTTGATTTCTTTACTGGGTCCTTTGTCACTTCTAAAACCGAAACATATATGTCAATACTTTTAAATACTTTTGATTTGATTTTAACTTATTTTATTATGTAAGAATTTACATAAAGGGATTGGGCAGCAGGCATAGCCTATATATATAAGCCTTTTAATTTGGGGTACTTGATATGTACAAACAAAAGAAACATTTTCTTATCAAAAAGTCATAAAAAGGAAAGGATGATATTATTTCTGGATAAAAAAAATCTAAGCTATTTGTTGTTACTATCTTTTGAGTCTTTTTCAAAGCCAAGTTGTAAGCATTCTGAAAATAGAAACTACCCCTGTAGTAATACTTGTATATTAAATAACGTATTTGCTTTCAAATGAAAAAAATCAAATGACTTCCGTAATATTTTTGAATAATTATGAAATATGAATTACCTTCCAAGCAACCCTTTTCTTTATCGCACTTTTCGTTTAAACATCGACATTTTGAACGGCAATGGAGGCCGAAATATCCCGGTTTACAGGGCACTGAACAATTAAAACCAAATGATCCTATGCATGCTGAAAAGCGAATTATAAATGTCACATAATTATGGAATCCGGAAAGGGCCATGCAGTTCACTATCGCACCATCAGCATCGACTTAAAGGTCAATGACGCGATAATGCGATGGCGCGATAACGAAGAAGCGATGGTTTGATAACGATGAAGCCATTGTGCGATAGCGCGATGACGATGATGCGTTGGCGCGATAATGCGACGACGATGGAGCGAAAGTGAATATCGCTTCATCGTCATCGCACTATCGTGTCATCGCTATCGCACCATCGCCTCATCACACCACCGCTTCATCGTACTTTCGCATCATCGTCATTGCATTGTCGCGCCATCGTATCATCGTGATCGCGCAATCGCACCATCGCCTCATTGCTATCGCAGCATCGATTCATCGTCCTCGCGTCATCGCACTATCGACCCAAAGCTAGATAGTGCGATGATGCGCTCGCTAGTAAACTGTGTGGCCCTATCCGGATTCCATACATAACTGCAATTGTTTACTTTCTTCGTCTTACTTTACGCTAAATTTCCCATGTTTGAAATCTTTAAGTTAGATTTCCTCAATATTTGACAATAAATGAATTTTCCAGAAAATTTCCATTGATTTTTCTTGACCAAGGCCTAGGTCTTGCACTGAGAATTTTACCAGGACTCGAGTATTTAAAAAGTGTGCAGATTTTCAATGTTGACATTTACTGAAAACTTGACCAAAATGTGTCAAATGTGAAATATCTAATCACATAAGCAGGAGACTGGGTTATTTGGGTAGAATTCTGGGTTATTTGGGTAGAATTCTGGGTTATTTGGGTAGAATTCTTCAGAAAAAGAGAAGATTGGCAAGTAACTTCCTTTTGTACAAACAGGAGACACTAGATGTTAAAAATTGTGAATTTTGTACGTCATATTTAAATATACTTCTTATAATAAACACATATAAAGTATGATAATAATAAAAAGATTTTTCATGTGTAATTCGTTATAATTTGGCCACATTAATTACATTAAACTCGCACAACTGAACACATTTCTACTTGAAAAGTAAAATATTATATATAATTTAGTATTCATTGTTCCGTAAGTAGTAATAATTGTAACTGTCTAAAGTTTTTTGTTCAGTCATAATTTATATGTATTAATTTCGGCTTACCGTGACATGCATAATTCTTCTCGTAATAGCCAGTGCAGCATTGCTTTGTACCACTGTAAAGAAATGTAAAAGTTAATTGTTTCGAGTATTTGATTATCAAAAATATGCAACAGTAATGAAAGTTAAAACATCTTACTTTTGCATACACATGTTATCGTTGGAAGCAATGGTTGTGGCTTGCATACAAATATTCATGTTAAGTAAGTTCAGAGTGGTTAAAACTATATTTTTCATCATATTTCTATCAATCACGTTCCTCAAATGAAATTTACAAATTGACTTTTTTGTTGAACCACGGGTTATACATTATAAGGGAAGTTACGATTAAACAAAGTCGCATTATGATATAAATTTATCTTATCAATAAAGCTATATTGGATGGACAAGACAAAATTTCCTTATTAATTTATAAACCATCTATCATGTCGTTGCACTTTTGTGCAGGATTTTCAAAGCAATGTCACCTACAACGGATATGGAAGATATTTCTATCCAGTTTTGTAAAATGTAAAATAAATATGAACTCAAAACATACTTCAACCTTATACAACAACATATAGAACTTCATTCTTGTAAATGTTTGATTGAAATTGCATCGATTTGATCCTCGCTAAATATCCTAAAGTTGAATTAAATATTATGATATAACTAGTCATATAAAAGCTTTAGTGATGATAACTTCCATCGTCTGAATTTAGAGACAAATGCTTTATTGTTGGGACTGAAATTCTTTCTCCACTCTTTGTCATTCTTTATATAGAGTACTTCTAAGCAAATAAACGATCCATAAACATTGGAAAGTGTCAATCCTATTAATCAGAGTATATATCACAGTGTTCTTAAAAGATTCTGCCACATCTGTTCGATATTTTGATGTTTTACTGACTGTAGGCGTTAAGCGCCAACAAACATCTTTTTTAATGATAAAATAAATGAATTTTATGTAATCAATTACGCAATATATTATGTAATCACGATTTACATATTAATCATATTCATAATTCGGTTTCATTCTGTTGTGAATTTTTGATACAGATAATAAGTTGTTTATTTATAGTTTTATGGATTTCATGATCAATTATTACATAATTAATTACAAGTATTTTCTACAATTAAAGTCACTTTAGTGGCAAAGTGCAACATACCTAAATGTCTTGTTGTTTATGAGAATGTAGAGTGAAGGCGGTTTCTTAAAATTCTGCGATAGTACAATAACTGTTAGTTGAGTTCTTGACAGTACACGAAAATGTTAATGAATGAGAAGTTCCATAAATATGTTATATCGCGACTACCAATGAGTACCTCGCAGTTATCTAACTTACTACCGCTCTTTTGCGGGGGAGTCGAGAAAAGTCTAAATTTCTGGGGGCATTCGGCAAACCTCGGCTGATTCCGTGAACTACATCAAACAGTTAGATGAGGTACGAATCGGCCGAGGTGTGCCGAGTGTTTCTGGGGGCAAATGACATTGTTTACAGTAGTGACAATCGAATGATTCGAACAATTTAATGCCGATATCACGATGTTTTGCCAGATATTGAACTCCAAATAGTAGATTGTCAAATAAGGAAAGTTTAGAATATTTTACCTGCTTAAAAATGTGACGATTTTCAATGAAAATTTAACGAGAAGAGTCCGCTTGATTAAAAATATCATTAAAAATGTGACAATTAAGGATTGGCTCCTCTCAAAAATATATTAGGCTGGTTCAGCGATTGTTTAGCGATGTATTCCACCAGGGTTTTTTACTTATCTGTCCTTATAAATGCTACAATGATCGATCTCGCATTGTATTGAATAGGACATTGCCCCCACCCAACAGACGATTCCTACCTCCTTCGCAAAAGAGTTCCGCTAAGTTAAGTAATTGCGATATCAAGTATTGGTTATTATGTCAAAATGTATTTGCATTGGCAATTGTACATAAATATATTTTTAAAGATAAGTTAAGCTTTTCAAGCGTTAACTTTCCTTATCAGTGTAGCAATATCCCATAATCACCGGCAAATGGTGTTTGCATCTCCAAAGTTATTCGACTGATTGATTGATTGGTTGTATGTTGTATAACGTCCCTCCCGTGAATTTTATTTTTCACTCATATGGAGAAGCCACCACTTGCCGATGGAGAGCTGCAAATTTTATCCTATACTTGGCACTTACTGCCATTGAGCAGTGACGGGTCTTTTTCGTGCCAGCACCTACATCGACACGGCACCTTGGTTTATACAGTCTCATCCGAAGGACCGGTCTCCACGTCTCATAATGAGAATCGAACCCTAGACGTAAGGATCAACTCCAATCGACTCTAGAGCAGACGCTGTTACCACTGCGTCACGTGGGCGATCCCAACTTGTTTGATACTCGAGAACATTTTTAAACTAAGGCGGGTTACCGACAGATAGGTTGATGTTATAGGAATTTCCAAAAAACCTTGTTTACGTTTAATATTTTGTAAATTCTAGGATCGTTTTCCCATTCTACGCAAATAAACGTATTCGAAAATAACTTGTTAATTCATAAAACATCGTCAATTTATCTAAATTTCGAGTTATAAGTCACTGCAAAATATGGCGATCAAATAAAAAAAATCCATTTGATTTAAATAAATTCTGCTTCATTGAAATATAAAAACAGACCAGCTTGTTTAGTGGCAAAATTAATGTCCGTAGGAATTTCAATAGTCTTTTGGAATACCTGCTCTAAGTTAATGATATAAAAACAGGCTGAACAGCTCATTTTGACAGAACACC